TTAATGGATTTTTTTTTTATGAAGACTGCATAAAATAGTGGGAAATTATAAATGCAAAATAGATTCACTTTGTTTTATATATGCTTGCTTTTCAGGTTTTCAAGCCAATAGTTGAAAAGTTCAATTTCACATTTAATTGTGACATAAAGAAAAGGTGAGTTCTAGAGACCCATGGCAGATGCAGGCCTTGCTGGATTGAACCAGTGTGTGAGCACAGAGGCACACACACAAGGTGCTCTCAGTCAAGCTGAGGGATGAATTTATAATACATGAAGTAATCTGCCTTAGCTGCCCCTGTGTGTACGATGAATGTGGTGTGGTCCTTTCTGTCTTTTTTTTTTTTTCATTGCTGAGTCTACAGCTGCTGTTTCATGTTTCTTATGGGCTGCCCCTCAGGGAAGCTCATGCTGAACAGGCAGTACGTTACCAGGCTTCTTCTGAGGTGCCAGTTATGCATTAAAAAGTATAACAAAATATATGAAGAGTCTTCTGTCTCTTTTCTGGGGTTACTTGTGATCTTTGTGTTTAATGATATGTGATTACTGTTTCCAAATAGGGGCTACTACCCTCAGGGAGGTGGTGAAGTTGTAGTCCACATGTCACCAGTCAAAGAGCTGAGCCCAATAAACTTAACAGAACGTGGCACAGTGACGAAGATTTATGGAAGAGCATTTGTTGCTGGAGCGCTGCCTATAAAAGTAGGTGCTGATGATAGCTCTGGTAGTATCCAACTTCATACATCTGTATAAATTTGCATGTAATCTGCTTAAATACCTCTGCTGCTCACTGTATACTGCAGTCTTTCATATACAAAGTAGCCTTATTGAAAGGTTTCAGTTATTCAGGGCATAGAATAGAATTTGGGACATTTCTGAGACATTTATTGCATAGCAATAAGGTAGCAGAAAAAAAAAAAAGATGTTTCCCGAAAAATTTCCTAAAACAGGAAATGAGAACTGTGTCCTTGACATCCTTCACAGGACTGTTCAAAAGTCTTTAGTGTATATTGAAGGGTATCTTATATGTGATTTATGTATCGTGCAGTTTTACGTGGATTATTTTAAGTGTGAAGTCATGGCCCTTTTTCATAGATGTATGAAACTATGGTGCACTACAATAGGCAGCAGGCAGACCATATCAAATTTTCCAATTTGAAAACTGCTTTGAACCTCCTTCTTTCTATTATCCAAATGCTGTCACTGTTTACAGAGAGTGAGTGGTGGGATCACAAAGATGGGACCAGCTTTAAGCTTCATCTGCCTTCACCTGGCTGTCATTTCAAATTGTTATTTTAGAGTATATCTGATACATAATAAGTGTGAGGTGGGGTTCTGTTTTTTTTTGGTGGTGGTGGTGGGGTTTTTTTGTTTTTTTCTTTTACAATCTAATGTCTTGAGATAATCAAGACTAAAATCAAATCTTTCTCCTTTTGAATGCAGAAGTTCTTATATTTCTACTAATATTGAAGCTTCTACATAGATCACTGTAATTGTCATTTGTTCAGCATTTAATGTTACCTTAATTTTGTGGGAAAATTCTTGGAAGAGATGATGTTCAGTGCTTGGTTTTAGGGGTTTTATAACAGTCCTTTGTTTTTCTATTTAGTAAAGTAGCCCATTTATTCAGAGATTCACTGAATTAGATTTATGAGGAAAATTATTGCTATGGTTACATAATTTATGTTTTTACCTCTTATCTTGTTAGCTGGCAAAAGACATGGCAGCAGCAGCAGTGAGGTGCATCAGGAAAGAAATCAGAGATCTTTACATTAACATTCAGCCTGTTCGAGAGCCTGATGATCAGGCCTTTGGGACTGGAAGTGGAATAATGTAAGATGAGCCCAAACTTTCTATTGATACCTGTAACCCTGCTGGCTGGTTAGCTAGATCTTGATCACATATCTGAAAAATAAAGTGTAATGCGAGTAATTTTGTCCTTAATATTGTTTTTTTTCTGCTTAGTGTTGTTGCAGAGACGTCAACAGGTTGTTTGTTAGCTGGGTCATCGCTTGGCAAGAGAGGTAAGAGTTCCATGAAGTACACTTCTTTCAGATTTAGCTTAATGTACTCTTAACAAATAGGAATCTGAAGTATAATCTCTTCAAAGATCTGTTGCTTTGAGTGTTGCATTTTTTAGATGGATGATGTTTAGTAATGAAGGACAGTGGAGATGAGCAGATTTTAAAAGTAGTGAATGGAATCTTACGCTTTGTACTAAGCTGCTTCTGCATAGTGACAAAAATTACAAAATTATTAAACTCACTTTTTATCAGAATGGATTGTTAAGGGTCACTGAGTTGAAAATGCTTCTTGGCTTTAGGAACATACAGTCTTTGTGGTTTACCTGTGAATTTTTTGTTCAACAGTGAACCTAGATATGTATCTCAATTAAAAGGAACAGAGGTCATTTTGGCTTTAAATGGTTTGAATAAAATGTTTCTCTGAGTAAGTGGGGCTACTTTCTTTCTGCTGTGTAGGAAGTACAAACTTGGGGGGGGGCTTTAAGCAGGCATTTGAGACAAGGACATGGAAATAAGGTTTATAAAGTTGATAACATCTTGATTTTTTTTCCCCCTTTCTGTATTTAAAAAATATGAAATAATAATTGGCAGCATCCTCCTAATCTGGATTTCTCTGTTAGGAAAGAATTCTGACAAGGTTGGCATTGAAGCAGCGGAGATACTGCTAAGGAATCTTAAACATGGTGGAACTGTGGATGATTCTCTGCAAGACCAAGTAAGGCTCCTGTACATGTTTACATGAAGTTGAAGTAGCAGGAACATGCATCTATGTGTTAATTGTAAAGAATATAAATCTGAACCGTGAAAGAGTGAGATGTAGGTTTCAAAGTTAGACTTTATGTCCACAGGCAGGCATGGCTTTACAGAATTACTTGGCAATTAGAAGTTTTAGGAAGTTTCTGGGTGTGGTAACAACATCACTAGGATTAGCAAATTACATCCTGTTCTTAGGGAGCACAAATGCTCCTGCCTTTGCACCAACACCCTTTAAATTGTCCCTTCCTGTAAATCTTAGTAAGCGAGGAAGAAAGAGGTAGGAATTTGCTTCTATTTGGCACTCCACGTAGCTGAGTACAAATAGCTCCCTGGTTACATGAAGAATGATACTAAGTGCAGTTATTAGAGAACAGAGTATCGAGGATGTGTTCCTGTTTGTCTTGCTCACCTACTTTCATTCAGGAATGAAGACCCTCCACTATCTTATTTTCAATAACACAGCCTGATAAGAGTTTTGGGCCGTTCTAGATAGGAATATGTCACCTCTTAGTTGTAAACACCTAGCCACACATTACTACTGTGTAGTATAATAGGAATTATTTAGGTCTTGGACCCATCCTTCTTTATCCAAAGCATGCACAATACAGTTGGTGGAAATATGCCACAGCTAGATGCAGTGGCATTTTGCATGTTTTTCCTTTTTTATTATTTTTTTAATCAGGAACTTCCTAGAATCTGAAGAGTTACTTAGGAATTACTTTTCCTTCCCTTTCAGCTGATTATTTTTATGGCACTAGCAAAGGGGGTGTCTCGAGTGAAAAGTGGACCAATAACACTTCATACTCAAACAGCTATACACTTTGCAGAGCAGCTAACAAAGGTGAGTACAAAAGTTTATAAAGTGTTACCTATCAGTTCTCATCCAGTAACTAGGCAAGGTACAGTTCCGCAGGCATTGTGAGCTGAATAGAGGAGAAGCATTGATAAAACAATTGCTGCAATATTTATATGGTAGTTTGCCTGTAGGAAGTCAACACATTTTAGAGTTAACTGCCCTTAGAATGGTTAGATACTTTTACCGTCTTTATTTGAAGGTTTAATGAAATCCGCCAAATCTGTGGTATAAACAAACACATGTCAATACGAGTATTTAACCTTATGCATGTTACAACCTAATTAGTGATATATTTCTAATCCTGTTTTAGGCCAAATTTACTGTGACAAAAGCCGAAGAGGAAGATCCCAGTAAAGATGCCTACATCATTGAGTGCCAAGGAATGGGGATGGTAAACCCAAACTTACAGAGTTAGAAAAACAAAAAGGCAGCAAGCTGACAAAAACAAAACTCAACATACCTCAGTGATGTATTGCACTACATTTCAATGGGTGTATGATGTGCATGTGAACAGGAGGAGCCTTCTGTCACATCTGAGGGATTTAACTTCAGGAATGATGTTGAGTTTTCCCGTGGTGTGCTGAGAATCTGTGGTGTGAGAAATGGAAACTTCACTTTTTTTTCTTTTTTTTTTTTTTTTTTAAAACTTAGCAAAATGAGTCCAGACAGGACAGCAAATAAAATACATTGTATATATTTGAGAGCTTCAATTAGAAGGTTTGAAAATTCATGTTCACCAAAGTAGAAAATAACAATTGCAGTTTTGAAAAAGTACTGATATATTCTTTCCCCTTTAAAAAACTGGAAGTTTATTCTTTGGAAACCTTTGTGTTATGAGGTATATGGAATGAAGTGCACCATCAAATCTGTATCACTTTGCTTTCTTAACTATTTCACTTAAAGTGTGCGTTAGGAAATAATAAAACAGTATCACTGTCTGAAAGCCTGGTGCTTATATTTGGGGTTACCTCAGCAGGTTAAGTGGGAGATGGATACTAAGTAACTTTTCAGACACATAATTTCTTTTTCTGCCTACAGAAAGAACACTCAATGCCTAAAAGAGTCTTCTTTAAAATCTTCTCTTTTCATCTATTTTAAAAAATCTCCGCCAAGCTAAAACAATGTACCCTATTACATCCCAAACACAAAGTATTACCTTCATTATTTGATTGGATTTTCTATCTATAGTTGTCCTTGTTAGCATACTAACTGGGTCTCTGGTTTTGCCACGCTGTTCTGTTCTCTTTAAAGGGAATGCTTAATTTCAGCTGAGATGAGGGAGCTGTCAAACACGTATATACACACAGCTACATACACATACGTGCACAGAGCACTGCATATACACACAGCTGTATTTAGGTGTATAAATCCTGTGGAGTTAAACCCCCCCATCAGTAGGTCAAGGAAGGAAGATCTTCCTCCAAGCTGGCCTTGGTTGTGCTACAGAAGCTTTTTCCAAAGTGAAAGGAAGATAAAGGAGAGAGAGGGCATAATTTGTTTCATATATGAAGAACTGAATCACAGAATCACTTAACCAAAACTATATAAAAGTACTCTGGAAGCTTGAATTAATTTCTGGGTTTCCCACAGCCCGGTCTGCAGCCTTTGCTCCATGATCTTTTTTCCTCCCTCCATTGTGACTATTGAACCTGACAGCTAAAGATGTGTCTTGAAGCATCATTTACCTTACTCATTAAGATAATTGCATTACTGTGCATTTCTAACAGCAGAAAAATCCTTTGCTGGTATACAAAAGCTTTCACAAACTATACTTAACAATACCTTTCTTCCTAGGGGTCTTCCCCTCTCCCTACCTGAAAACTAGTGCAAAAAACTGGGATACTACTAATTTCTGAGTAAATTCCTTTTCTCTAATACTAGGAATGATCTGAAGGGGGCGGCAGACACCCGCTGGAGTACGTTGGTAACACGGATACTCGCCTGCTGTTGGAGAGCACCTCTCCATTACCAGTCTGTGCTGCTAACGATTTTCAAAGTTTCCTTTTGGAAGAACTCAGATTATATTTGAAGACAAACTTGAAAGAAAGCCCCCAAAGAGTTGTTTAACTGTGCTTAGAGGAAACAAGCTCTTCTAAACAACATTTGAATGGATCTTTACCTGTTTCCATAATTAAAATAATATATATACATGACTAATTTAACTTCTAGTGGAGAGATTCCTGATAAAGGGATGGCTGGATGTAATTTAATTCAGCCTCCTGACCCAAGCACCACTAACTTAGAGCAGGGTGATTAGAGCCTTGTCAGGAAACCTCCAGTCAGGTTTTGAAAATTTTCAAAGATAGGAGGTTCTACAATATTCTGGGTAACCATTCCCAGAACTGATATTTAATGTGAGCAGGCAAAAGGCTTATGCTTTTCGTTTAGTTTTTGTGGGGTTTGTGTCTTTGTTTCTTAAGCTGAGGGACTGCTTCTTAAATTGAAGTTATTTCTTGCTACAAGGAAGACATCTGGAAGGTGAACTCAGCAATATACCCGTTCTTCACTATTTCTTCAGAAGAAAACAGGGCAGAAGAAAATTATATAATCAGTTCTACCTTACTCTGAAGATATCTGGGATGTGGGAAATACACGGGTTGCTCTGGCAGCTGAGAACAAGGAAGCTTCAGTAAGCCCTAAAAGTAAAATGGTAAAACAAAAAATTTACAAATAGTTATATATCCTTGCTGAAAATAAATTCAGAAAAGCATATGGAATACAGCTTGTAGCCTACATAGTTAAAGTATTCCTTTTTGTTACCTTTGAAGTTCAGTTCTTGGATTCTATGTAATTTAATCTTTCTACCAATATCAGATCAAGCAACTTTCACAGAGTACAAGCAATTAGATTTTTTTATAATGCAGTCCCAACAGTTGTAGAAATTATGCTCCTCAAGAGATAATAAAATTAACATTCTTTATTCTGCTATTCAAAGTACATCTTTATAAATTATAATCCAGAATTAATGCCTTCCCTTTAGGTTTTAAAGAGTGCTTTACACACTTGGCCTTCTTGCCTTGTAATCACTGCTTTGCTTGAGCAATCAAGTAAGAATGACCCACTTTCTTGCCTAATAGATTCTTTGTGGCCTGTAAGCATACTTAGATGTTAATGCCTAGATGGTTTAAAGGCTCAATAAATCAGCATAACTAGCTCCTGTCACGTTAAGAAAACCTTATGAATAAATGCACAGCTAAATTAAATCTTTTAAATTTAGGCAGGGATATATATATATTTGCGCTTATATACATACTGCATTATGTATGAAAAGCAAGATAAGCTTGAACATGATTTTATATCTGGTCTCAAAGGCTGGCTGGAGTACCTTTTCATAGCTTTTTTTGCTTCTGAAAACTATGCCAGTTTGCACACCTGAGATACTGTCTGCAGCACTACAGAAATTTATCCCACATTTAAGACTGTCTTGGAACAATTGCAGCAAAAAAGAACTAGGAAAACTTTGAGAGAACTCTCACATTAGGATTTCTAGCTCCATCCAACACTTCCTGAAATCAGGTCAAGAATTCTAAAATGTGCAGGTTTTGTTTCTAAGGAACAAAAATTCCCATTGAAAAACTGAAATGCAATTCCTGCCTTCCAAACAGACATACAAAAGCATGTACACGCTTGGCCAACATATTTAACAAAAACCTGGTTACCAGAAAAAAAACTCCTCTTAGTAAATGCACAATAAATAGGAGTACAGCAATACTATTGCTGCACATCCTCACTTTCATAAACCCTTTAACAAGAGCAGCCAGTCATTAATAACTGGCAGTCCTTGGTAGCTTCCTTGCAGGCCAGTTCCAGTGTCCAGCCCCCTCATCTTGTGGCATGAGCACTAAGGCCACCAGTAGATGGATGGGGAGTCTGCTGTGCTGGCCCTCCCTTTGTCATTGCAATGTCTGTCCCCTTTTACCACACCTGCAGGGCTTCCTGGATTGAGGGAACCTGGTGCTGTTTTGATCAGGCTTTATGTACAACATTTTTCTCCTCCATGGTTAGAAAATCTCTAGGCATCTGAAACAGATTTTACTCTTCAGTAGGATTAAGTTCCCGAAACAGCTTTTACTCCTTGCTCTACATGCACACACACACATGTACACAGAAGTTTATTACTTGGGCTCAATTCACATCCTGTTACTTCATGGTGAACTCTTACCCAGAAATGTTTATCATAATTCCTGTTCTTTTTCTATATACAACAATTAATTACAATTCATTACATATATACTTGAACAAATGTTAACTGAGGTAATAAAATTTATCAAAGTAATTTAGGACTACTAGTATCATTCATATTCTACCAAGTTGCTATTTGCCCTTTTCCACAGGGTTTCACATAATAAAACTTAAATCCTCCAGGTTTTCATTTACTTTCAATTCACTTAGATTTTAAATCTACAAGTCGAAACATGAGCTGCAGATCTTGTTACATCACACTCCTACATTGCACGCGCTGTATGTACTTAAGGTTAAAATTTACAGCATAATTAATTCTTAAAATTAATGCTGTGTGTGGAAATTAGTTGTTGGTAGTTAGTGGTGTAACTTTTCTATTTTTAAACTTTCTCCCCTTTTTGAATATTAGCTAATAATTACAGTGCATTACTTGAGGCTTTTTAACTTTCATTTATATCCATTTACAATCATATAATTTTTATGATAAGGTTGGATTAAGTCACTTGTGAGAATGTATTAACCTTTTGTTCAGGAAGAGATGAGACATCATTTGCACCTGCTCTACAAATATGCACTGGGTTTTCTTATGTTAATCAGGCACATTTGAATCTTATATAAAAACTTCAGTGTGGGTGTATAGATACAACTAAGATGCTTACATTTAATAATGATCAAACAAGTAGTGGTGATGACTCAGACATTCTATATACCAAGGAAATGGGATTGTTTGCCTCAAGGTGTGTCCCCCCAGTGTACTTCCATGAGAGAGAAATGCGTTTGGATGAGTGTGATGATCAGAGAAAGGCGCTGCACCGAGACATGCGGGGACTGAAGTCTCAAGACAAATGGTAAGGGCATTACATGTAGCCAGTTACAAAAAGTTCCCCAGGAAATACAGCTCTCTGCTTCTAACTGAACTTGGCTCTCCAAAAGAGTACCTTTAAACCTTTTCTCCTTTCGTGCCTTCTCCTTTTGTGATCTCATGGTCTCTTAAATCTGCTTCACCGGGTAGCCGCTTCTCTTCTGAGCCTATGCATCTGATCACTAAAATATTTACTGTTTTCTAGGCCATGTTTAGAATACTGCATCCCGCTTTGGGCCCCTCCCCCCCTACAAGAAAGACAGCAACGGTCAAGTTGGTCTGTGGCTGAGGCCCTGTGAGGAGAGCCTGAGGGAAGGCGGCTTGCTGAGCCTGGGGAAGGGATGAATTTGGACACCTACCAGCAACCTGCCAATGCCTGTGAGGAGGTTATGGAGGAGATGGAGCCAGGCCCTTCACACTGGTGTGTGGCAGGAGGGTGAGAGGCAGTGGCGGTAAACTGAAACAAGAAATGCTCAGGCTGGGCAAAGCC